AGTGTTACCTACTGTCATCAACTTTAAAAGTGCAACAAAGCAAACCTAGTGCCATCTAAGCAGAGGCCGCGACGAGGAGGCATGAGCTGAAGAAAAGGTCACGTTCCCGGGAAACAGGACAACCTTGGGATTTTCTACTTAGTCCCTACCCGCCCTTACGGAGTTGGTCATTACCTTGAAGGCAGAACACTTTGAATTTTCAGACCTCTGCTGGTGGGCTAGTTCACGGAGTCTAAGAATTACTGTCAGTACACTAGGCTTTCCGGGGGGATTATTTTTCTGGTTTCACTTTAAGGAAGTAAAACAATCCTTTGCTGATGTACAGAAAAGTTAAAGATGAGAAATCCGTTATAATGTTGTTAGAGATCTCTGAGTCATAGGGGTTTAAATATTTGTTTACATTTGTCTACATTTTCTAAGTCTTCTACCATGAAGTAGATGGCATTCCTAGAGTCAGAGAAAGTGTTGCAAACATCAATAAAAATCACTACTCAAAAAACCTCTGTGGTTTCAGCCAAAAAATGCCTGCTCCTTCTGGTGCAGCTACATTGCTGTTTAAACCTCACCACGTCAGACTAAAACGGACTTCGGGTTTGTCTTCTTAGGGACCGAAGCAATCTGCTGAAAAGACACAGTCCTTGCCTCCAAACTATTTCGGCCAGACGGGATTTCATACCGTCCAGACGCTGGAGGACTTTGCAGAGAGTACTTTGCACTGTACTTCTCTTATCTTCTGGACCCATCATTGCTAATTAGCATGCATCTCTTAATTTTCAAATGATGCATGTCATGTATGTACACAGGAGGGCATGCTCTTCAGGGAAGAAAGTAAAAACAGAATCAGAGGGAGGCAGGACTGCCCAAGGGTTAAGGGCATGGGTTTTAAAGTCAGACAGCATAGGTTCCCGCTCCCTTCTGCAGCTTCTACACGAGTGAGTTGAAGTTATTTGAACCACGTGCCTGGGTTTCCTCATCTACAGAATGAGGATAAAAAACGCTGTGCGTAAGCACGGCGCCGGTCACATCAGCGCACAATTCACACTAGCTGTTACGATGTCGGCTACAAAAACCACAGCAAGGATGGAGAACTGATGTCACCACATCAGAGACCAGAAAGTTCTCTTTATGCCATAAAGTACCAAGATTACTGTGTGCCACACAGGGTACCCATTTCCCAGGCTACCTCATTTAAATAGCTCAATTACCCTAGGAAGTCTTTTTCCCCAAGACATTAGAATATATTCTGAGATGAAATCGATTAAAAAATAATATTCAATTGTTCATCATTTCCCCCAACCGTGAATAAGAGCAAAAAGTGTAACATGTCTTTTGGTGGATCTTGAAACTCAAGCTTTGTAAAGTCATGGGATTTCATATATTGTAGGTCCACGAGGCATGTTAGCACTTAAAAGATTTTTTTTTTTTTTTTTTTTACGACATTTGGTAGATCGAAGATTGAACCCCAGAATCTCAGGATTTTAAATCTGGCTTCACTTCGGTTTACATTTGGAAACCTGACTTAACACATTTTTTGTTATTCATTGACCTTATTGAATGTTTCTCTGTCCAGTAAAAACTAAACCCTGACACAGCGTTTGTCGCTCACTGCTCCCATTGGCCCACACATGCCCTGCTTTCCTGACTCACAGGATTTACCTGGAAAGGACCCCAATCAGCTCTACCAGCTTGAATCTTACCTTGAAGACCTGGCCTGCAGCCTTCCCCACTATAATACCTACATTTCTTAGTCTTCATTTGTCCCATTTAGTCCATTTCATCTAGCATCATGTTCTAGCTGTTCATAATCTCTCCTATTTTAGAGGTCAAGGGCCTTATACGGCACCTAGATCAACACTAAATTAATTATCTGCTGAGGGAATAATAGTTTACAGGTGTCAAGGAGGCAATAGCGGGAGTTTGGTTTACAATCCTACACTCTAGCATGAAAAGGGAAAAAATAAGTCTACTTAATATCTTACGTTGTTTCTTTAAAACTTCTATCAAATCAGAATGAGAGAATTCTTCCAAATTTATGTACAAAACCAGTGAGAAAACAAGAGTATAGAAACTTAGAAGAGGGTACAGAGAAGGTATGAAAAGCTATAAAACGATAGCAATGCTTTTACATCTGTTACAATAATTAAAATTAATGTAAAAACCATTGCGGTCTGCTAGAATGAAGGCAACCCAGTTGCATGATGAGGAAAATACTTTAAAAATACAATTTCCATGAAGCACCTGGGGTCCAATTTGGCAGATACAATCCATGAAACCTAGCTCCCTGAGAAGCCAGAAATATAAAATAGAATATTTTTATTAGTCTGGTAATCAAAATACTTAATAAAAGGAAGTAACTAATAAAAACTCACATCAACAATACAAACGTTACATGCTTCAGTTTCCTATTCAATATTTTCCACGGTTAATCAACTAGTTTCATTAGACGTTCATTATCAAAGGCAGATTTAAAAATACCGGCCTTTTTGTTGTCATTTGGTCAAAAAGTTTATTTCACTTTGCTTGTAATGTTCGAGTCCTTTAGCGATGACTTCCAGCTTGAGGCTGAATTTTTTCGTACTGTGAAAGTAAAACCCACTCTTGAAGTAAAAATACTCAAGAGTGTTGGATTCTAGATTTCAAAACGTTTCAAATTCTAGATTTCAGTTACGAGATCATTCTGATATTTAAGGGTACCTTCAAAGAGACAGGTTTAGATAACATAAGAATGCCAAGTTGGAAGAAAACAGGTGAACACGGAGGTAAGACGGAAAGAGAAGTTTGCAAATATTTGGTGAAGCTATGTTTATAGACCAGTTAACACCGAAAAGAAGAAACTGTTGTTACAACTAACTTAAATGTGAGTGATTATATAGATGTAAGTCATACCTTCTACAACCTAAATAAATTTGGACTTAAATACATATACATATGGCACGCTGTATTGCTGACTTCTTGTGATTCTTGGAAAGTCCAAAAAGGGTTTGAGGCATATCCACTGTTTGCCGTTTAGAAGATGCTATGGTAAAACTCAACGAGGAAATGAGTCAAGAATTGATGAACTTCACCAAATTTCTAAATATACTAGCCCCGAGTCTCTCTGTAACTATTCTAAGATGGTTAAAAAATAATAATAATAATAAAGAAAAAGAAAGCAATCCGCACCCATAAGCGTCTCACTGGCCTGGGGATACTCCAACACAGCCCTGCAGCCAATAGGAAAACTTTGCCTAAATCTGGATTCGGATTTCATCTCTTTATCACAAAGCACCGAGCACAAACCAGTATTGTTAACGGTTACAACCCAAATGGCAAGCCTCCCAGTTAGAGTAATCGGTACTTGGACGCGAAGGCCGCTGCTGGAGGGGTTGAAGGGGTGAAGGTAGAGGCAGTTTAGGGAAGGAAAGCGGGGTTCGTTCCGCCAAGTTCTATGTGGAACAGGCCGGTGCCGGGGGTGGAGGGTGGGGAGCAGCGGCCCGCCTAAAACGAACGCGGGGTGAAAAGCGGGGTGCGCTCTGAGGCCGAGGGGCGCGGCGGGGACGGGGCCGAGGAACGAAATCTCGCGGCCGGGGCTGGATCCGAGGGGGCGGGGGTGCCTCACCCCGCGGGCGCGCGGCGCCGGGAGCCGCGGGGGCAGCGCCGTGGGTCCGTTTCCGTCCGGAGCGCCCGGGCCCGCGTCCATCTTCGGCGGCCGAGCCCCGCGGCGGGCGGGAGTGGACCGCTGCCCTAGGCCGCGGGGCCCGGGTCGCCGGCCTCACCCGGCCCGAGACGCCGGCGAGGATGGCTCCGGCCGCGGGGACGGCGGGCCGGGCCCTCCGCTCGGCCCCACCCGAGCCTGCGGGAGCGGCGGGCGCTCACCACCCACCCCCCCACCTCGCCCCGACCCTCCGGGGGCCCCGCCCCGCCCCGGGCCTGGAGCTCGCCCGGCGCCGCCGCTCCGGCCTCTCCGCCCCGCGCCCGGGCGCGGCCTCCCGGCGCGCCGCCCTCCCCTCGCGCGGCTCCCGCGGGGCCCCTCCGGCCGCTCCCGCCCCCTCCCCCGCCGCCGGGGCGGGGGACAAACCTGGCGGCCGCTGCCCGGCATGGCCGACGCCGCGAGGAAGCGGCGCGCCGGCGGCGGGGCCCGCGAGCGACGGCGGCCGCCCCGGCCTCCCCGCGCCGCGCCCTCGCGCCCTCCCCGCGGCCCCGGCGCCCCCTCCCCCGGGCTGGCACAACTCGCGCCCCGGCCGCGCGCACGCGGGATTGTTGCTCAACCTACTTGCGGTCTCTTCTCCGCGGCCATCACGACATGCCCTGGAAGCCGGGGCGGCCCCGGGGCCCTCCGGCGGCCGGCCGCCTCCTGCCTCCGCCCTGGGCCGCCGCGGCCGCCGCTAGGGCGCGGGGCGAGCCGGAGGCTCCCCCATGCCGCCCGCCCGGCCGGCCGGCCGCACGCCGGGGCCTCGGCTCGCCCGCCGCCCGCGCCGCTGCTCCGCGGGCGCACAGCGACCCCGGCCCGGCCGCCTGCTCCCCGGCCGCCCGCCCGCCCGCCCGCAGCCGCAGCCGCTGCGCCGCTTCCTCCCCCCCTTCCCTCTTTGCCTTCTCCTGCTCCGCCTGCTCGGGAGCCGAGGTTGGCAAACCAGCACCTGCTGCTGGAGATCACCGAGAACTGAAACAGGAAACCCCGCGCCAAGGGGAAAACCCGGGAGGCGTGGAGAGGGGTGAGGGGAGCCGCTGGAACCTGCCGGGCTCCGCCGAGCCTGCCGCGCCTCCTCCCCGCGCGCCCCGGCCCGGCCCGGGGGTCCCGGCCTCCCCTCCGCGCCCGCCCCCCAGCCCCGGCCGGGAGGGCGGCTCTCCGCCCGGCGACCCCGCGTCCGCCCCGCGCTCAGGCGGACCGTGCACTCCCGGGCGGCCGGGGAGCCCGCAGGCTGCCCCTCGGGGCCGGTTGCCCGTGCTCGCTTGCTCGTTATCAATATTCTGTAACGAGGAAAGACCACACCCGCATTAGCAAGACCAAGAAGGGAACTTACACAAATGAAGCTGCTGGGATTTCACCCAGGGGAAGCACTTCTTTCGGCAAGGAGGCTGGCCTTATTGGAAATGGCAATGTGTCAAAATCGAGGTTAACCCCGGGATAAATCCAGATCGCCTGCTGGGGGTTGGGGGGAGACGGCCCGGCGCGCTGAGTTGCAAGTGTGAGGAGCGCCGAGAGCACACAGCCTTTTTTCTCCCGTCAGTTGTCCAAGCCACGATTTAGGTCAACATTTCAGTAATGTTCAAATAATCGTATTCACCTGCCTCTGGAATTATCCGCGGGTGCCTGGCTCCTAGCGTTGGGCGGGATGAAGGGGAGTGAAAGGGAAGGGAAGTTATGTGGCTTGTGTCCCTACCATGTGCCACGGGCTGGGTAGCCTGCTTTAAAAGCATCGTCGCATGTGTGTGTCACCACAGTCACGTGAGCTAGGTGTTTTAATCCCTTTTATCCCTCAGAAAACCCAGGTTAGAAAGATTTGCTGAAATGAGACAGTTTGGAACCGAAGGATACGGGCCTGTCCGCATCCAAAGCACATCCTTCTTTCCCTGGACCACAGTTCATGCCTTTGACGATGTGACTTTTCACCTCTCATAAAATTGTTTCTTGCCTCTCTGATTGTTTTCCAAAGAGCATTTATGATTTAAACTGAGATCTGTTGAATTTGCTTGGGTTACTTAATGGTAGTGACATCCATACGGCTTACTGGGGCTAAAGCTTTATAGTTTCCAGTTCTTTAAAAAAAATTCTGCCTGTATGGCTCAGTGAGCAGTACAGGTGTTCCCACTTGTTTGGCCAACATCTGTAGCCCTTTAGCTACTGATGATGGAGTCCCAGCTGAGAGCCTCCTGCTGGGGCTGATGGCCAAGGGCATCCTGGTGCTGCGAGTTGCCTTTTCTACTTCCGCAGGCCAGGCTTGGGACCTATTAAAGGAGATAGCAGACTGGTAGGCTTTTTGGGGGAACACGAGAGCTCTCTGGTCCTCATTTCTAGTCTCACCTTTAAGACCCGTAGGCTGTCTGGCTACCTGCTGCCTGCAGCCAGGTCGGTTTTGATTGGCGGGAAGGGAGGGATGCCCTGGGAAGTCATCTGCTGTTCACTGAGCCAAACCCTCAGAAGTCTCTGATGTGGTATTAGGGAGTGGCAGGCACCTACAGAGAGGCTGGCTGGCTGACAATAAGTGACAGCATCTGTGGCCTAGGAGTTCCCCTACTCTACAATATGGCACCCACACAGTCTTAGTTCCCTCACTGACTCAACTGAATTCCATTCAGTACTGATTGAGCGTAGTTTGAGACCAGGGCACTAGATTAGGTGCTCCAGAGCTAAGAGGCATGAACGATTGTTGTGACTGCCAGCATTTTTGTGAACGCTCACCATTCTAGGCACTTGGCATGTGTTGTCTCATATAATGCACACAAAACCCCTGTGAGGAAATAACCATCATTATTTCCATCTCACAGAAGAGAAAACTGAGACCAAGGTTATAGTCAGTAACAGCACAAGGGCGGGCACATAGTCTCACTCTGGAATCTGGACCCATTGTGCAAATACGATATAGTGATACGGTAACTGTCCATACTTCCCTCATGACACAGCTGGCCAGATAAAAAACACATGAAAGTTCAGAGAAAACAAAGAAGATAAGAGAATTAAGAAGTGTTAAGTATGTGTCATGAGTCACAAATCCAGTGAAGTTTCAGAGGACAGAAGGATTAAGTTGAAGCAGTTGGGAAGACTGGCACAGAAGAAGATCCTGGGCTTCAAAAAGACAAGAAATGCAGCTGGATGATGAGGAAGAGTATTTTGATAAACAGAGAGGATGGGGAAGGGCAGGGCATATCAGTGGAACAGCATAAACCAAGATGGAGTGCCAGGGAAATGGGAAAATAGGGTTTAAAAAAAAAAAAAAAGCTAGAAAGGAAAAGTAGGACCGAATTACACAGAGACCTGCAAATGGGAGATAGACAGAGACAGAGAGAGGGAAACCGAGCTCAGTGTAACTGAATTGGACGGGTTTTGTGGAACTGAAGGGTTTTGAGTGCAGGGTGACATAGAGAACAACCTATCTTGGGAAAATAAATGTTGTGACGGTGACGGCTGGTTTGGAAAGGGGAAGGACTGGGGTATGAGCAGGGAGACATGTTTGACAGCCAATATGGCAGAACAGACCTGAAATACTGAAGTAGATAGTGAGGAAGGGGAGGAAGGGACACTTTAGTGACACCGGGGCTTGAAAAGCACTGACGCTTTCTGAATGATTGCATACACTTGACCAAGACAGACTTGAGAAACAGGAGAAGTCCAAAGTAACTTTGTGAGTGTCAAACCTTTAGTACTGCAGACGGGGGAAACAGGAAGCTTCGGGGTAAGGGAACTATTTTTTTGAACAACTGTTGAGAATAGTTTGGTTCTAGGCACGTATTTGTGGTAACAGTGGGATATGCATGTGGCAATGTTTAGGGCATTATCTAGAAAAGACAAATAGTTACGCAAATGAGACTTGAATGCTGAGAGTATGAAAACTTTGCATGCTCACTATTATAATAATAACCAAGCATCATTGTTCATCTTAAGTAAACAAGAGTTGAGAGAAAATCCCTAAGAAAAATAAAATGCTTCTGTGGCCCTGAGACAAATAGGCATTAGGGAATTCCTCTTCTTCTGAGTCCAGATTACATTTACTTAAAAGGAAAAGAATATATAGGAAAGAAAATCTATGAGTTCAGAGAATGTAAGACCGATGAGAGAAAATGTAGAGCTCATTTAGTCTGATCCCACTTTCCATTTTGCACACGATCCACAAACTGAGGATCAAATATTGAAATATCTTGACAATAATAACTTCAGAATAAGTATTAGTCGACTATGGCACATTTGCCGTGACCAATTCTGGAGAGAGAACCAATCTGTATGTTAGTTATAAAATCAAGCCTGGACCTCGAGCTGTGATTTTGAATTGCACATAATTAAAGAATTTGAGTGGCCCTGCTCCACAGAAGGCAAAGCCTTGGACAGACTCACTAGTTAAAAGCAAATGCTTTGGAAAGAACAGATTAGTGGCAGGGGGTTGGGTGTGGTGGACACAACGGTTATAAGAGCAGCACTTCTTGGGGTGCCTAGATGATTCAGTGGGTTAAGTGTCTGCTTTTGGCTCAGGTCATGATCCCATGGTTTGTGAGTTCGAGCCCCACATCGGGCTCTGTGCTGACAGTGTGGAGTCTGCTTGGGATTCTCTCTCTCCTCTCTCTCACTGCCCCGACTGTTTGTGCTCTCTCTCCCCCTCAAAATAAATAAATAAACTTAAAAAAAAAAAAGAGCAGCACTTCTTTCCAAAATATAGCTCCTAGGTAGCGTGCTGCACATCTATATTCACACTCGAATTTCAAAAGACAACGTGAGGGGCACCTGGGTGGCTCAGCAGGTTAAGCGTTATGACTTTGGCTCAGGTCATGGTCTCCTAGTCCACGGGTTCAAGCCCCATGTCAGGTTCTGTGCTGACAGCTTGGAGCCTGCTTTGGATTCTCTGTCCCCGTCTCCCTCCGCCCCTTCCCCACTTGTTCATTATGTCTCTCTCTCTCTCTCTCTTAAAAAAAAAATAAATAAAACTTAAGAAAAAAAAGACAGGGTGAGATGGCCATCACATCCCACCTGGCTGCCTCAGCCTGGAAACTCTGCCAGCCACCTTTTCTAAGACCTCCAGGGACTTCAAAAGTGCTGGCCCACAAGTTACCCTCAGATTGAAGAGTGGCTCTCCCCCCCCCCCCGACAGCTGCTTCATTTCTGTCCAGAACTTTCCTAGTGATGTCCTTCGAAGTTTCCTCTTTGAAAATGTGTGAACGCCGTGCATACGCTGGAGGCTGCCAGAGAACTGTTCCTCTACTATTTCCACCACAACACTCACCGTAGTTCGTGGAGACAGTGTCAATGGCCGGCACCTGATTTCCTCTGCTTGAAGAGCTTTGCACCCACAGCCAGGTGGCTGCTGGGATTTTTCATCCAGTTTATGTCTTCCAGAGAAGTTCTGGTTAATTCCAGCCATCCACAAAGTGTGAGGTTTTCTTAATACCATTACCCTACACAGCATGATCTGTACAAGACAGGCACAGTGGGAGAAAATGCATTCTTGCCCATGTCCTTCAAGGACTCCTTCCAGTTGCTTTTTAATGCTGAGTTCGTAGGGAAAGGAAACTAGAGGGCACGAGATACGTGCTGTTGACCAATCCCAGGACTTGTTTCCCTTGATGAGTTACCACAAGATTCCGTATCAGCATCATGACTCCTTCCCCTCACCCCCCACCGAATTTGTGGGAGGCCTCCAGAGAGCAAGGTTTTCAATCTGCTGTGTCATACAGTCATGTGCTTGGTTTTCCACCTGAACCAGCCAGGGTGGCTGCCCTAATTTACCACACTTGGTGTACACAGGAGTTCTGAGCGCAAGGAACGCTTACTGCTGAATTTAAAAAGGTGCCACTTTGCCATTTTGACAAGGACCACATGTGTCATTGCAGTTCACCTCGCCCAGAAGTTGAAACATTTGTGTTTTAAAGTGGAATTTCAAGTGTATCAGGAAGATCCTCATCACCTCTGCAAGCTTCCGTTGTTTTAAAAGGAAACTGGTACACAGAATTACAGATGTCCACGGCTGAGCTACTTGGAAAGGGAGTGATGGAATTTTCAGGGTAAAGCATACCCTGTGTTAAAAGGCTATAACCTGAGAATAGTAATCGCAGCATTATTGGCAAAGGCAAAAAAATTGGAATAAACTTAATATCTATTCATAGGAGACTATTTACATGAATTGTGGTATCTTCATACATTAGACTCATTCACTTATTAAAGAGAATGAAGTGGCCTTATGTGTTGGGAATCGTTTTTGAAAACGTGAGGTAAATACCAGTGTATACAGTGTGCTACCATGTGTGTGAAAAACAGAATATTTCTGCATGTGCTTACCTGTGCCTGAGTTATCTCTGGAAGGATACACAAGACACTGGTCACTGTGGTTGTCAAAGGACACGTGGAAAAGAGATTCACTTTTTATTCTATAACCATTGACAGCTTTTGAAATTTAAATTGGGTGCTTGATTTAGATATTCAAAAAAATTTTTTAAGTCTACCTTTATTGGTGATATGTGCTACTGTCCACCCCTTTCTACTGGTTTTGATACCCAGGCAGATATTATTTTTGCAAATAGTACCCCAGCCACAAGGAAGAGG